TTATGACAGTTCGGGACCAAACGGCCGCGCTTGGACCCAGAAGCATCGAAGAAAGATCAATTTCTGATCTTGAGACAAATCAAAGGTCTCAACAGCGCAACTGCCAGACCCGTTGTAACCTTACTCCAAGCGGATGAATCCGGATCCAGAACTTGTGTGCACAATTTGGTGCATCAACTGAACATAGGTCATGGATCTGAATCACTTGCGGTAGCTTCGCTGCCTCGGCTGCTACAAGAGAAGTGCAGCCATTCACACTTTTTCCGGCAGATGTTGCAGGAAATCGTCAAGAAATACGGCTCGGAACTTCGCCTCGTCCTCGCGTGGGACGAGGCAGTTCCGGGCAACATCCTGCAACCAGACTCTTTTTTTGCTGATCAAGTCAGTTGATTCAGTCAATATGTTTCCAATGTGTTTCCCGTCACTGAATTCAGTCCTTTTTTTCGATCGATGGCATGTGGTGGCTCAGGTGCAAGTCAGCGCCAAACGCAGGGCATGCAGGCGACGCTCAGTCTGCTGTGACTCCCTCCTGCGAAGAAACTAATGGTCCATGGTGTTTGTTGGTTTCAATGATTGATTGATTGATTGGTTCAAAAATAAATGAGACTCACAAATGACTGATTGAGATGAAACAGATTCACTGTGAATCTGGAAATATCCAGTCCTCCATTTCATCTTCAACTTGCTCTGCTTCCTCCTCACCCTCTTAGTCTTCCATCCCCGTGTAGCTGAAAGATCTTCTATCTCTGCTTTCTCATCGAACGCTGGCTCAGGGCCTTTCGAAGCCTTGATCTCAGCCTGGGCTTCGCTGATGGCTGCATTTCTCATCGATTCCTGGGTTGCCGAGATTGGCAATAGATTTTTGGGAATATCAGGATCAACCAGATATTTCGATCAAAAAATATATGCGTTGAGACCATAGGAATGTTTGTGGCAACCCAGACTTGAGAGTAAATATTTGATGATGTATTTTTACACAAACATGTGTATCACGAATCCAGATTTGAGAAACATGCGCTTGGATTTGACAAAGGGGTTTTCAAATAGATTCGAGATTGCAAGAGAACATTGCAGTGACAAATACCTTTGTTGAAACTCTGATGGGGTGGGCTGCTAGGTGGTCACGGCAAATACTTTGAAGAATGATAGACGTCTAGAAGCACTTTCCTTTGTTGAACAAACCAGGGTTAAACACATCCACCAGTATGCATTCTGGGCGATATACCCCAGGGTCTAAGTTGATATGCATCTCCCATGCCAAGCCAGATACAGTGCTTGGCCAGCTTCCACAGAGCCTTTGGTTCGAATCAGCTCCGCTTTGACTGCTGCCTCAGGTAAAAAGCATTTTTGGCACCCAATTGGGCTAAACAAACATGTCAAAAATTCACAACTTTGATCACCGCAGCTTACCTGTGACCTATGAAAGAAGAATGTATGACATAAGACACGGCTTTTGAAACGTTCACCAAGACACAGCGATCTCTGCAATCTTCTCATCAGGGACATCTCGGTGAGGCTTCACCAAAGATTGAACAGTTTTCTCAGGTGACCCCTAGAAATCTATTATAGCGCCATCAAGTCACACGACTCACTTCCTTTTGGGCAAGCTTGATGCCCCAGATGCCATTCGACTTGTACTTGGATGCACAGACCGATATGTGGTTGGGATCTTTCACTCTTCCACCGCGGGATGCCGGCCTCTTCAACGCTGCAGATGCTGCAGATGCAGAGGCAGCAGAGCGCTTGAGAGTGGCTTTCGGTGTGGCTCCCTTTTTCGGGGAAGGCTTGGGTTTCAGTGCTTTTGGTGTCCCCGAAGCCTTTGCTGTTGCCTTGGGTTTCTTCAAAGCCGGTGGTCTTGGTGCTTGTGTGGGCGATACCTCCAGCACTTCAGCATCATCCGATAGTCGATCCACCGCATCTAAAGGTGGCATGGCAAGCTGGGCTCTAGAATCTAAACCAGTATGCCCGATCTTGGAAAACCTTTCAATGGCAGCATTTTTAGAATATACGATGTTGGACATATGTGGCAATGACATTCAAACTCAAGCTATGGAGAATAATTTGCAATGACATATGTTGCGTTGACATTCAAAACCACAATTGGCGAAATTGCACAGGTGTTTCGGCACCACCATCGATGGCTGCACACCCCGTCCGCAAGCCCAGAACACAACTGTGTTGCCTTCACTAGGCGGATGTCCCAAGGAAAAAAGCTGCAACATTGAATCTTTGGTTGGTTTTGAAGCAGGTTTTGCAACCCTTAGTTTCAACCACAGGACATCATTGGCCAATGGCACACTTCCCAAACTGGGTTTGTCACCAAAACTGATGGATGCATTGTCCACCCATGAATCACTGAAGCTTGATGGCTGATTTTGCAGCAACAGTGGTGACACTAGTGAAATAATACTTCGGTTTTACCGGGGTAATCACCGCAGGAACTCCTTCTTGCACTTTGACCTGCAGGGTCCATTCAAGTAGGATAAAGAAGGGCTTGTCCGAAGATTGGGAAATATCGCATATAATATTATAATATTATACCCTGATGCAGCATTCACATGTATGTAAAACCATGGGGTAAAAAATGTACTTGATAAACTTTAGGGTATGTTTGAATCCTTAGGAGGTGCCTCCCAGAGTGTGGCAATGTTGGCTGACTGAACCAGCTTGTCATAGTCCGCAAAGCAACCCCCAAATTGGGAAGTGCGAGCTGCCATGAGATCGGCCTCAACACGTTTTGGTTTGAAAACATTCACCTTGGACTTGGGTTCGATGGTGGACCGAAATGGCCGCGGTGTGCCACCTGCCTGCACGGTGCTCTTTCAAACCAAGGTTTGAAGAAAGGTGTCATACCAGTAGTACCGCACAACGCGGTGGCGGAAGTTTCAAAAATAGGAAACCTATAGGAGAGATTGGTTGTTGTGAATCAGGGATGGCAGAGCGAATCCACTGATGGACCGAAAGGTGCTTGAGGTCTACTCTCTTTCTCTCTCTTTCTCTGACTATCTACCCACCTACCAACCTATCTTCTATGTATCTATCTATCTATCTATCGATCTATATATCCCTCTCCCTGTCTACCTATCTATCTATCTCTCTATCTCTCTATCTCTCTCTCTCTCTCTCTCTTTCATCTGTCTATCTGTCTAGCTGTCTACCTGTCTATCTGTCTAATCCCTTCCTCCTAATACTAAACGTCCCCCTAATACTAAAAACAGGCATCCATCTCCAATTTCCGAAAATTTCAGTTTGGCCAATTTGACTTTTAATTGATCCCCTTTAAAAAACAATTCAAAAATCAACCTACCATTTGTGGGTTCTCCCCCCTAATACTAAAAACTAATTCATCCCGGGGTGTTTAGTATTAGGGGGGCTAGTTTTTAGTATTAAGGGTTTTAATTTAGTATTAGGGGTAAGCTTCGAACTGCCATTTTTGGCAATATTTTAATTGCGTTATATAAGGAAATTTAATTGATTTTGAGATCGGAAAAAATAGTTTTTAGTATTAAGGGTTTTAATTTAGTATTAGGGGTAAGCTTCGAACTGCCATTTTTGGCAATATTTTAATTGCGTTATATAAGGAAATTTAATTGATTTTGAGATCGGAAAAAATAGTTTTTAGTATTAAGGGTTTTAATTTAGTATTAGGGGTAAGCTTCGAACTGCCATTTTTGGCAATATTTTAATTGCGTTATATAAAGAAATTTAATTGATCTTGAGATCGGAAAAAATAGTTTTTAGTATTAAGGGTTTTAATTTAGTATTAGGGGTAAGCTTCGAACTGCCATTTTTGGCAATATTTTAATTGCGTTATATAAGGAAATTTAATTGATTTTGAGATCGGAAAAAATAGTTTTTAGTATTAAGGGTTTTAATTTAGTATTAGGGGTAAGCTTCGAACTGCCATTTTTGGCAATATTTTAATTGCGTTATATAAGGAAATTTAATTAATTAATTAACATGACTTCGATTTGGTTCCCTAATAATAAATACCACCCTAATACTAAAAACTACCTGCCGTGTTTTGTATTAGGGGGGGGGGTTTAGTATTAGGAGGAAGGGATTATCTATCTATCTGTCTATCTGTCGACCTGTCTATCTGTGGCGCAGTGTCATTCAGTGTAGTGTAGTGTAGTGTAGTGTAACGTAGTGTAGTGTAGTGTAATGTTTAGCTAGGTTCAAGATAGGTGGTAGAGGCCTTAAGTAAGATCCAAACATGTCTGGTACGTACGGCTGGTAGGTTTGGTTTCCTTGGTACGGTACGGTTGGTACATGTGGTACGGTACGGTTGGTAAGGTTGGTACGCTTAGTAAGGTACGTTTGGTACGTTTACCAACCGTACCGACCGTACCAACCGTACCAGTGAACCGTACCACCGTACCGTACCAGATTAAGGGGGGGCGTTTTGGATTAAGGGCGTTTTGGACGTACCGTAACGTACCTTACTAAGCGTACCAAGCGTACCTACCCAAAGCGTACCAAGCGTACCAAGCGCACCAAGCGTACCGTACCAAGCGCACCAAGCGTACCAAGCGTAGCGTACCCATCTTATAGCTGGATATCAAGCACCTATCTTGAACTTAGATAATTTAATGTAGTGTAGTGTAGTGTAATGTAGCGTAGTGTAGTGTAATTTAATGTAGTGGAGTGTAGTGGAGTGTAGTTGTGTAGTTGTAGTTGCAGTGTTGTGGAGTGTAGTGTAGTGTAATGTAGTGAAGTGTAGTGGAAGGTAGTGTCTTGTAGTGTAATGTAGTGGAGTGTAGTGTAGTGTAATGTAGTGTAATGTAGTGTAATGTAGTGTAGAGTAGTGTAATGTAGTGTAGTAGAAGGTTTTGTAGTGTAGTGTAATGTAATGTAGTGTAGTGGAGTGCAGTGTAGTGTAATTAAGTGTAGTGGAGTGTAGTGGAGTGCAGTGGAGTGTAATGTAGTGAAGAGTAGTGGAAGGTTGTGTAGTGTAGTGTAATGTAGTGTAGTGTAGTGGAGTGTAGTGTAGTGGAGTGTAGTGTAGTGTAATTTAGTGTAGCGTAGTGTAATGTAGTGTTGTGGAAGGTAGTGTAATGTAGTGTAATGTAATGTAGTGTAGTGGAGTGTAGTGTAGTGTAGTGTAATGTAGTGTAGTGTAATTGAGTGTAATTGAGCGTAATTGAGTGTAATTGAGTGTAATGTGTTGGAGTGTAGTGTGGTGTAGTGTAGTGGTGGTTGTAGTTTAAAATGCTAAAAAACCTTCACGCTTTGCTCACTTTTGACAAGGTGCACAATCCCTTGCGCCTGCCACTCGAAGCGACATCTGAACCTCCAAAAGTGGTCCGAACCCCTGGTGCTTTTAACATTTTGACTTCGAAATGTGCTTCGCGCCACAACGGCGTGCACTTTTTTGACATCTCAACTTCCAAAAGTGGTCCGAGAATGGTGTGCTTTGTACATTTTGACTTGGAAATGTGCTTCGCGCCACAACGGCGTGCACTTTTTCGACATCTCAACTTCCAAAAGTGGTCCCACACTGAGGTGTTTTGTACATTTTGACTTCGAAATGTGCTTTGCACCACACTGCGTGCACTTTTTCGACATCTCAACTTCCAAAAGTGTTCCGAGACCCAGGTGTTTTGTACATTTTGACTTGGAAATGTGCTTCCCGCCACAATGGCGTGCAATTTTTCATCTCTCATCTGGCCAGCTGGCTCCGCACCCGCCGCTTTAGCGAGCCTACTTTTCGACCCTCCGGAGCCACAAGTCATTGGAAAAACACAGTGTTTCGCGACTTTCCTACCTTTTCGCGCATCTGCATCTTCTTTCTTCTGACTCTTTCTCTTCTACTCTTCTCTCTTCTAATCTTTCTCTTCTCTCTGCCTCTGCCCTGCTCTGCTTTTCATCTGTCCATATTGTCGGAAGTTTGACTTCTAAACTTCCTTCGATCATAGTGATGTTTTAAAACTTTTGGACATATGAAATTCACAAGCAACAGAACCAAGTGTAGTGATTGGTCAACCCAGTCTCCTTCAGCATTGGAGATACATTGTGGTCCATCATCAATGCTTCAGTAGCACCATGTGTCCTGGTGATCCAGCAAAACACTTCCGAAACGGTCATGATCTCCGTGCTGGGGTTTCCATCAGAACCACTGGACACCAAGACCACCAAATCCAGGTCAGATTGGATGATCCAAGGCAGCTGGTCGGTCACCGATGATGCATCTCCTAATGGGACCCCGGAATACTGGATGAAAAGTGTGGCAGGGAAAACCAATAGTGCATGGCCATACTAAATTGTGACACATTTTTTTTGAGTTGGAAAACAAATGGTACACAGATCTCCTGTTGGAAGTTCTTGGAAAGATCCAATGTTGAAACCAAATAGCTCACGGGCTTTCAACTCACAGTTCTGAACCTCATCGTTCAGGATCCAGAGGCTGCCATCGTTGCTGTCCTTGCAAATGGCCAGAGAGGCCTGCTGCATGTTGGCTTTGCACACCAGCCTCAAACGATCATCAAAGAACATGGGAAAGGTTTTGATGATTTCCTGAAGATTCACTTTTTGACCAGTGGTGAATCCATATATTTTTTTTTTTATATTGTTTATAATTTATAGTGTGTTTTGCCGAATCATATAGAATCAATCAAGTAGCGTCCTGGAAGCATTGAATTCATCCAGGGTCTTGGTTTCCAAGTTCACTCGCTTCTCAATGTCGGGGATCGCATCATCACCAAAATCTGGGGAAGCCACCATGCGGTCTTGACCTCCTGAGCCCGTGTCATTGCCGTGGGTCGCATGTGTTGTGGGAACTGACGGCGCTTCCCCCTTACCCTTCAAAGCTTGGGAAATAGCCTTGGCCCCTGCGACTTTGGCATCCAGGTCCTTGAGCTGCGACGCATGGCTGGACAGGTACTTGTTCCCCACCAGGTCTGGAATCCTGGGCAAGTGGGGCCAAACATCTTTCCCAAGTATATGTGGGGATATATATGTATATTTAAATTAGCTAGGTTCAAGATAGGTGGTAGAGGCCTTAAGTAAGATCCAATCATGTCTGGTACGTACGGCTGGTAGGTTTGGTTTTCTTGGTACGGTACGGTTGGTACATGTGGTACGGTACGGTTGGTACGGTTGGTACGCTTAGTAAGGTACGTTTGGTACGCTTACCAACCGTACCGACCGTACCAACCGTACCAGTGGCCCCCCCCTTGACCCCCCCCTTAATCTGGTACGGTACGGTGGTACGGTTCACTGGTACGGTTGGTACGGTCGGTACGGTTGGTAAGCGTACCAAACGTACCTTACTAAGCGTACCAAGCGTACCTAGCCAAAGCGTACCAAGCGTACCAAGCGCACCAAGCATACCGTACCAAGTGCACCAAGCGTACCAAGCGTAGCGTACCTATCTTATAGCTGGATATCAAGCACCTATCTTGAACTTAGATAATATTTATATAAATAATATTTATTTAATATATACTTATTTTAAATTTAACCATATATATTTACTGTATTTAATATATAATATTTATAATATATATTATAATATATATACATATGTAAAAGTAGTCATCAAACCTGAGGTAGAATATTACATGTTATGTATACATATATATATGTGTGTTCATGCATTTCAAGTAGTAACATTAAAAGATACAAAAAATATAAATTCCCTGAAAGGATCTTCAATTGATTGTCAGCCACAGTCAAAATTTTCAGCGTGGGAATGGGCTCTGTAAAGGACGAGGAAGAACGGCGCGATGGCCTTGCCGACTCACTTTGATCAAACCATTTAGACATGAACACCCCGGGAACATTGGACATGTTCCTCTCCATCATCACAGCATCATCCTGCAGATACAGCCCCAGGTAGTACACTGATGGGGCCCTGGAGTGTTCCACCAATGCCTTTATTTGCATGCTGCTGCAGGCTGAGCTCCGGATCCCAAGTGTGATTCCGAACATAAAGAGACATTTCATATTCAGAATGTCCCAAGAGTATACCAAATATAAATTCCCGAAGATAAATTTCAGAGTTTTTTGATGAGAAACCGGTTGGGCATGCAGTCAACAATCAGGATTGGGTGCCCATCATTCAAAGGCACACCCTCCAACAGCTTGGAAATGGTGTCCTGGGTGGCCGCCACGCCTCGCTGCTGCACCTGATACGGATCAGCAAATGCAAAGAACTCACAAACTTTGTGGAAAGACTTTGTTAAGCTTGTGAAAAAACTTGTTGAATCCAACAACAAGGCACCCGCCTCCTTCTTCAGGATTTGTCAACTCATGATCCCGGCTCCTTTTCACTGACTTGATCCTCCCTAGCATTGCTTTGGACTTGTTGAACTCGATGCTCTTGTGTGAGCCGCATGTCACCGCAACACGCAAACACATAATGTCTTGCAGTTCATTTGTTTGGCGAAACAGTGATGTCGAGACACATTGCGTTTGTCACCCTGGTGGGCGCTGGAAAGGAAGATCAGAACAACTTCGTGCACGTCAAAGGCCCTTGGATCACATGCCCCAAAGCACGCACTAGACAGCATGCTGCAAACACAAGTATCATACCACAAGCAAGCCATATCAATGGGTATCAAGCAAGCTTAGTATGGCCCCAATGCTTTCAAGTATCGCCAATGCCTTGTCCTCAAGGAGACGCCGATTCTTGAGAATGGCTGTGTGGGGCGTTGATGAATGAGCTTGAGGCATCAAGATGAACTCCATGCTGTTGGAGTTGCCCCCGCAAACAGCTTGGCACAGGCTGAGACTTTCGTCCACCGAAAGCGCACCTCACAAACACAGACGAGAAGTACTAGAAACACAAGTTTTCAAACCGATGCAGCCAAGACACGCTGAGGCCACAGGGTGCAGTCGATGACCATGATTGTCAACCTTGGGATTCGTCCATCAATGGGTGAACCGATTTAAAGAATTGAAGCTTAAACATCTCAACCAGGAAACGTTGAGCGTCCCAATGCTGCTTGTTTTGAAACAATCTCTCCATGGGCCAAATTGATTTGTCTGTAGGAGACACCAGAGTGACGTTCCTCCATCAGTTCCGCCACTGCCCTTTTCCCTTTCTCGTATCTGCTGCTGAGGTAGAGCAGATCAAGCCCTCCATTACCACAAACAAAAAACACACATTGAACTTGATAGAAGTGAACAACCATGATCCGCCTGTTGACTGGCATGGACATGAAACTTCGCTGCCCACTCTTGCATCAAGACCAAATCTGCATCGACCGAGAGCTGCGTTTGGGCAAAGGTAGTTTGGAGCAGAGCTGCCGACAACCTCATAGCGAATGGTCCATCAAAAAAGTTAGTTGCATGATTTCCTGGGGAACAAGATCCACTTGAGACCGTGCCATAGGTTCATGTTAGCAGACCTCAGGAATAGCATGCAGTTCCATGTTGGATTTGGGGAGTGTAAGTATGTGGGGAATGCTGCTGACCCAAAACAAAAGACTACATCTCCAGAATTTTGGAACACAACTGGGCTAATTATGATCATAATTATGACAGCTGGCTGCCACAAAATTAGCAATACATATTTATTCTAGGTAATATGTAAACCGATGTTTTCCATTTAAACATAAATTCACTCAAAACTGACATGGAACCCAATGCAGGCCCAAACTGAACCCAAACTGCACCCTGAAACGGCCAACCTGGAAGTTGAACAAGTTGTCCCAAAGCGATTTGCAAACTTGAAGGGTGATTTGCAGGTTAACGTGGAACCCAAATTGTCTTTAAGATGTTCTCCCTGAAAATTCCATGTTAGTGACCTCCGGCCGAACCAATTTTCACTTCGTGCCGCGCTGAAGGTACCATACTTTGATATTTTTTAAAAACTTATTTCTATCCAAAAAATATTTTGAAAAAATCAAATTTTCATTGCAATACCTTGAAAATGATCCACTGAATGTTTTAAACTGATTGTGGGCAGAATTTATCGATAAAATTTGTTTTTCTTAAAAAAATCACCTACCAGGTCCAAGGGGTGCCCATTCAGGTTCCAAGTTGGGTTCCAGGTTGGTTTGTTTCGGGCGGCTCTGCAAACTTACCACACTGTTGAAATAAATTTTCACCTGCCAGGTCCAAGGGGTGCCCATTCAGGTTCCAAGTTGGGTTCCAGGTTGGTTTGTTTCGGGCGGCCCTGCAAACTTACCACGCTGTTGAAATAAATTTTCACCTACCAGGTCCAAGGGGTGCCCATTCAGGTTCCAAGTTGGGTTCCAGGTTGGTTTGTTTCGGGCGGCTCTGCAAACTTACCACACTGTTGAAATAAAATTTCACCTACCAGGTCCAAGGGGTGCCCATTCAGGTTCCAAGTTGGGTTCCAGGTTGGTCTGTTTCGGGCGGCTCTGCAAACTTACCACACTGTTGAAATAAAATTTCACCTGCCAGGTCCAAGGGGTCTGCAAACTTACCACACTGTTGAAATAAATTTTTACCTGCCAGGTCCAAGGGTGCCCTTTCAGGTTCCAAGTTGGGTTCCAGGTTGGTTTGTTTCGGGCGGCTCTGCAGACTTACCACACTGTTGAAATAAATTTTCACCTACCAGGTCCAAGGGGTGCCCATTCAGGTTCCAAGTTGGGTTCCAGGTTGGTTTGTTTCGGGCGGCTCTGCAAAGTTACCACACTGTTGAAATAAATTTTCACCTACCAGGTCCAAGGGGTGCCCATTCAGGTTCCAAGTTGGGTTCCAGGTTGGTTTGTTTCGGGCGGCTCTGCAAACTTACCACACTGTTGAAATAAAATTTCACCTACCAGGTCCAAGGGGTGCCCATTCAGGTTCCAAGTTGGGTTCCAGGTTGGTTTGTTTGCGGGAGAATGAGGAGTGCCCTTCTTCTTCTCCTCTTCCCTTTTCTCTTCCATGAATTCTTTACTGTTCCTTACCCGCTTTACCCTTCCTTTTGTTCTATGTCTTTTACATTGATCTATATCTGCTGTAGTTTCCGGGGGTGCATTCTATCTGTTGTTTTCCCCACTGTAGCCACATGTTTCTGACCTGCAGGGAACTCTTGTCTCTTATCCGATCTTATCCGCTTCCCTTCCCTTGTCCTTTTGTTTGTATAATGTTCCTTTCCCTTCCTTTTCTTCTATGTATTTGTTCATTGATCTATATCTGCGGTAGTTTCCGGGGAGGCATTCTATCTGGTGTTTTCCCCACTGTAGTCACGTGTTTGTGACCTGCAGTGGACCCTGGAGTGCCCTTCCCTTTTCCTTTGTTCCTATCATGTTCCTGTCCCTCCCTTTTCTTCTATGTCTTAATCAATTGATCTATACGTGCTGTAGTTTCCGTAGGCATTCTATCTGTTGTTTTTTCCCACTATAGCCACATTTTCTGCAGGAGAATGAGGAATGCCCTTTTTCTTCTCCTCTCCCCCTTTCTCCTCCCTTTCTTCTATATTGTTCCTTACCCTTCCTTTTGTTCTATGTCTTTTACATTGATCTATATCTGCTGTAGTTTCCGGGGGTGCATTCTATCTGTTGTTTTCCCCACTGTAGCCACATGTTTCTGACCTGCAGGGAACTCTTGTCTCTTATCCGATCTTACCCGCTTCCCTTTCCTTGTCCTTTTGTTTGTATAATGTTCCTTTCCCTTCCTTTGATTCTCCTATGTATTTGTTCATTGATCTATATCTGCGGTAGTTTCCGGGGAGGCATTCTATCTGCTGTTTTCCCCACTGTAGTCACGTGTTTGTGACCTGCAGTGGACCCTGGAGTGCCCTTCCCTTTTCCTTTGTTTCTATCATGTTCCTGTCCCTCCCTTTTCTTCTATGTCTTTATTCATTGATCTATACGTGCTGTAGTTTCCGTAGGCATTCTATCTATTTTTTTCCCCTTTATAGCGACATTTTCTGCAGGAGAATGAGGAATGCCCTTTTTCTTCTCCTCTTCCCTTTTCTCCCCCTTTTCTTCTATATTGTTCCTTACCCTTCCTTTTCTTTATGTCTTGTTCATTGACCTATATCTGCTGTAGTTTCGAGGGAGGCATTCTATCTGTTGTTTTCACCACTGTAGCCACATGTTTCTGACCTGCAGGGAACCTGGAGTGCCCTTTCCCTTTCCTTTTCTTCTATGTCTGTATTCATTGATCTATAAGTGCTGTAATTTCCGCAGGCGTTCTATCCGTTGTTTTTCCCAACTATAGCCACATTTTCTGCAGGAGAATGAGGAGTGCCCTTTTTCTAGGGGGTAAAAAGCAAGGCGTGTTTTGACATCTGATGATATTCACAGTGTGTAGGCATTCTAAGTGAGGGATTTGTGCAAAGGGTTTTCCGAAAACAGCTAAAAACTTAAAACCCGGGTGCACAAAGAGTGCACTGACCTATGCCAGCCTGGCAGAAATGATTCCATGGCTGGAAGAAAGCTGGATGACGTTGGCCGTTGGACGCACCAGCATGCTTCAGGAATTAGATTTGGGATATACCAAGTCTATGACTCAGTTATGTCAACATATCATGACTGAGACCCGCGACGGCTTTGCGATCGATTTTGACGAATCCCCTGTGTTGCTGACAATTGGCTCAATCACCATTGTTGCAGACGCAGATGGCATCAGGCTACTGACAGGCTGCAAAGGCGCTTCTGCGCTCAAGCCATGCCTGCATTGCACCAACGTCCTGATGGGTCAACGTGAGGTGCCAGCGCACGCAAACATCTGTTGTGCAGAGGTGACAGCGTTCCAATCACAAAGTCAAGCAAATCTAGAAAGCATCATGCATCACCTGCAAAGTATCCATGAGAAGAAAGCCAAAGAAGAAGCTAAAAAGCTTCTGGGATGGCATGCTGACGCCTTACAAGCGTCAGCAATCATGCAACCGGATTTGGCTCATGTCATTTCCTTGCGGTCCATTCGGTACGACCCAATGCATTGCTTTTTATCGAATGGACTTGTGAACCATGAACTTGCTTTGTGGTTCCGTGCAATTTCCAACCAAACATCCGCTAGTCTTGAGGACATCAAGCACTATGCTGCGCTGTAACATGTTGGACGTACGGAAACGATGTCTCCTTTGATGTCTCAAAGTCGTTCAACCCCAAGATATGGTCCAAAGACAGTGATTTCCGGGGAGACGCCAGTGAAGCTTTATGCCTTTTACCTTTGCTGGTGGCATTCTCATTGGAAGTCGTCCTCCCAGGTAATCCAAGCCTCCAGCCGGTATGTGACAGCTTAACAAAGCTGTACGCGTGCATTTGTGCCTGGTGGGCTGCCAAACGTGGGTTCGACCTACGTGCCACTAGCAACCAAATGCAAAGATGGCAAAAGGAACACCTGGAATTGTTTTGCTCTACATATTCCAAAGAAGCATGCCGACCGAAAAACCATTTCTCATTGCACGTGCCTCTGCAATGGAAAGAACACAACTTCACATTGGATTGCTATCCCTGTGAACGGAAACACAAGCTATTCAAGACAATAGCTCCCAACTTCAACGAACTATCAAAATTTTCTCTCTCGATCCTGTCAGAAATGACTCATCGTGAGATCCATAGCCCACCAAACCACTTCCTAGAAGCTACCTTGCTGGGAAAGAAGTACACATGCGTTGAGCTGCAAGCCTGCTTTGATAGCCAAGATCTGCAACTTGCACCTAGTCTGGAGTACCGAGGCGTACGTTATGGAAAAGGTCAATACAAAGTTCTTAGTGCAAGAAAAGCTGTGCTCATACAGGCGGCTGCCCAATGTCAGGGATCTTTTCCCTTGGCAATCTACTGGCATGCATTGAGCGCAAAGCTGCGGGCTTCTCCCAGTGGCAGCAAGAAAATGACAGCGATGCTTTGTGGGTCACTCCTTTGGATGACGTTGCTGGCAGTGTTCATGCCAGTGGTTTTCGCAAAGAGCGCAAAAACAGCGCGACAATTGTTTCACTCCTCCATTTCTGACAGCCATGCGCACAGAGCCAAAAAGATGTGAAACTTGCGCTGAGCAGCGAATGAGCAACTACAAAAGATGAAAGAAACGAGACAAACGCCACAACTCCAAAATCAACTCAAAAAAGTTATTTCTAGTTATTCTTACTTATTCTTACTTATCTACTTAGTTTTTGGATAAGTAGATAAGTAGAAATAAGTCATGCTTTAAGTAGATAAGTACAAAGCGATCCCCTAGTAGACTTCATTTCGTACCATTTGGCCTTTCCCCCGCATATGATTTACAAATTCTGGCGATCTGATATTCTAAGTGTTGGATTCTGAAGCTAATTCCGTAGGAAACAGAGACTTCATTTCGTACCATTTGGCTTTTCCCCCGCATATGATTTGCAAATACTGGCGATCTGATGTTCTAAGTGTTGGATTCTGCAGCTAGTTCCGTAGGAAACATAGACTTCATTTCGTACCATTTGGCTTTTCCCTCTCATATGAGTTGCAAATATTGGCGATCTTTTGTCTCTGGAACACTATATCTTTTTGGTGTTTTTTCTTGGGTTCTGATGTTCTAAGTGTTGTGTCAGCAGCTAATTCCGTAGGAAACATAGACATAATTTCGTGCCATTTGGCTTTTCCTCCAATATGATTTGCAAATATTGGCGATCTTTTATCTCTGGAACACTATATCTTTTTGGTGTTTTTTCTTGGGTTCTGATGTTCTAAGTGTTGTGTCAGCAGGTAATTCCGTAGGAAACACAGACATAATTTCGTACCATTTAGCCTTTCCCTCCCATATGATTTGCAAATATTGGCGATCTTTTATTTCTGGAACACTATATCTTTTGGTGCTTTTTTGGGGTTCTGACGCTCTAAGTGTTGGATTCAGCAGCCAATTCCCTAGGAAACATAGACATAATTTCGTTCCATGTGGCTTTTCCCTCGCATATGATTTGCAAATGTTCGCGATCTTTTATCTCTGGAACACTATGCCTTTTGGTGCTTTTTGGGGGTTCTGACGTTCTAAGTGTTGGATTCAGCGGCTAATTCCGTAGGAAACATAGACATATTGTCTTACCATTTGGCTTTTCCCTCGCATATGATTTGCAAATGTTCGCGATCTTTTATCTCTGGAACACTATGCCTTTTGGTGCTTTTTGGGGGTTCTGACGTTCTAAGTGTTGGATTCAGCGGCTAATTCCGTAGGAAACATAGACATATTGTCTTACCATTTGGCTTTTCCCTCCCATATGATTTGCAAAATTGCGATCTTTTATCTCTGGAACACTATACCTTTTGGTGCTTTTTGGGCGCTCTGATGTTCTAAGTGTTGGATTCAGCAGCTAATTCCGTAGGAAACGTAGACTTCATTTCGTACCATTTGGCTTTTCCCTCTCATATGAGTTGCAAATATTGGCGATCTTTTGTCTCTGGAACACTATATCTTTTTTGTGTTTTTTCTTGGGTTCTGATGTTCTAAGTGTTGTGTCAGCAGCTAATTCCGTAGGAAACATAGACATAATTTCGTGCCATTTGGCTTTTCCCTGCCATATGATTGCACACATTGGCTTTTTTTTTATCTCTGGAACACTATACCATTTTGGTGTTTTTTGGGGGTTCTGATGTTCAAAGTGTTGGATTCAGCAGCTAATCCCGTAGGAAACATAGATTTCATTTCTCGTACCATGTGGCTTGTCCCTCGCACGTGATTTGCAACTATTGACGATCTTTTTATCTCTGGAACACTATACCTTGTGTGCGCCGGCGCATTTGGAAAACGTTTGATGTTGTAAGTGTGTGTGTGTGTGTGCATGAATATATATATATATATATACTATTTATACATATCATATGTTTTTTATTCATACACATGCGACGGACAACTTGAATTGGCCCCTATGTTTTAAGTGTTGGTTTGGTTCTAAGTGTTGAAAAATGTTGAAAATATGCTTACGTTCTAAGTGTTGGTTTATGCCGACGTTCTAAGTAGAAAAAATTGAAAAACAATTACGTTCTAAGTAATTGTCCGTCGCTATGTATATATATATACACATGCAATGCAAATGTATATAATGTATGACGTATGTGTTAAGCATTCATTGGTGGTAGACAACGGTCGAAAATGTTTTTTGACCTGAATTGCGGTTTTTCTTTCACGAACTGAGATACATATTAGCTGCCGTCGCAACTTTATTGCCAACCCTGTGACGTGCTGATCCCTCCAGGATGGTGTTGGCGTTAGAGCCTTCCAGAAGGTTGGAAAACTTTTGCAGGACAATCAGCAAAGGCTAGATCCTGACGATGCTTCTTTTGCCTTGTCGGCCTCTTAGGCAAACAGAGGGAGAGGCCTGGCTCAATGCCGAGTTATCCTGGAGATTGATGTCTTCGAATTTGGTGATGGATGTCGTAGGCCTTTGACCCATATATTTCAAAGGTTCAGGGAAAAGTGTTTGAGCATCATTGTTGGCCTTGCGGGTCTGACCACCACAAGGTGGCCAGTCTGATTTTCGCAGCTTCTCCACAGATGGCACGCACCTGACGTGGTTCATACGCTGCTTGGAACAGTTGCAAGCTCCCACAGATCCTGATAGATTGACACATGGAAAAAACTTCAGGTGAACAGCACGACTGAAGGTTGTGTGATCTCGTTCATTGAGCACAAATGATGCAATGTTGTTGAAGGTCCTTTGTTTCCTGCTCTTGTGACTTTTGTGCAATTGTGATTGGGATTACCCTCGCAGGTGGCCTAGCTGCTCAAAGGACTGATGAGTCTGCCGGCTGACAATCTCACAAACTTTGGCTTGGAAAGAACTATCGGATCATGCAAACGATGGCGTACTATCCTACCTCCCTGGCATCCCAAGACTGCATGATTTTCAATGTCACAGCTGATCACAATCAATAAGAGCTTGGCAGGGCCTAACCGATCTTGCTCAAGCTTAAATTTATGACTTTCTGGGGCAAGCAGGAACAAATAAAACTCAGGTCATTCATTGTCACAAGCCTGGTTTCATTGTTGTCTGCTGCGTGGCAGGGTTCTGTATTGCTTTTGAACGCATCTTGTGCTCCCCTGCAGAATCTTGAAGGTGGCTGTTTCTGTATCAACATGGTTCAACAATGTTCAACACGCATGGTACCATCATGATGAAGGTTCCATTCCGAATTCCCATTTGCAATTCGTTTGCAGTTTGTGAGAGAATAGAAATATCAAAAAAAATGGAAGGAGCCCACAGTTCACCAGCCTCAACAGTCCATTCATCAAAGCGATTCAAACGCACACGGCTCACAGCAGTGATCAATGCAGTGATCAGTACTTACCCCCAGAAAGACATTTAGTATCATTTAGTCAGAGGTTTGACTCGCAAGCTGAGCACTAAACGGGATAGAACATGGCGTAGCATGGCATAGGCCTGTGAACAGCTGCTTTTGGGGCTTCGTCACTGGATGGGCAAATGGGAATGTTGCAAGTGCTTAGAAGACAACAGCGATTCAGAAGAAGTGTGCCGATGGTGCGACACTCTGCGAGAGGAAGCGGACCGAGTTTGCATCGGGACACAAGAGAAGTCACAGTCCAAGGAGTCCAAAGGGCCCAATGCGTGGAATGCGTCCAAGCCTCGAGGTCCAGGTGGTCCAGGTGGTCCAGGTGGGCCAGCAAGTGGGCCAGACGCAGCTGCTGAAGCAATGAAAGCTACATGGGCTGCACGACGACGGCGTTTGCTGCAGCAGTTGGCAGAGGTGGACTTTTGTGCACCTGAACAACGACGTACAAGGTTGCGGGCGTTGCAGTTGGAACTGCATCCAGACAAACACCAAGAAGGCACATCACGTGTTTCGTCACTCCGACAAGTATCCTGCACAGCTATCATGCGAAACAAACCGTGAGTTTTCCACATAAAAAACAAAACCAAAAGCATTTGGCTGCCCAGCCAGGCTGGTCACTTTCACGGCATGCTGAGCTGGTCCCATTGAATTTGCTCATGACCTTGTCATGTTAAAGTTTGTGCAACTGATGTTTTAGGTTCGAGATCCCCCCTTAGGGCATGAGAAATTGTTTGGGGTAGGGACTTGCAATGGAAGAATCCATCCCCTTCGGCGCCCAAAGGGGAGAGGAAGCCCTGGTGATTGAGGGCTGTTTGCAGCAGCTAGGACTGACGGGTCCTAAGCTCGCGGTGTCATTTGGCACTGAAGAGGAGTTGACCGGCAATTGGTGACCCAACTGAAGCTCAGGCCAAAGGATTGGCACTTGGTTCGTGAAGGCGCAGGTGGCAGCTGCAAAAGAAATGGAGGATCTCGAGAGCAGGCTGCAGGGCTCAGCGTCATCTGCATCTAGGCAGAGGCTTGGAGATGCAGCCGCAGCAATAGATAAAGAGAGGATCGAAGTGGCTGAGCTGAAGAAGAAGGAAGCGATGGAACCGAGGTTGGTGCCGAAGAAAGGCACTCTTGGAAAGAGTGTTCGACTGCGAACAGGGAGGGTGGTCACAGAAGACGGCCGAGCAGAAGGTCTTGAGGATCCTTGTGAATGAGCTGACGTATGTAGTAGGGGCACCGTCTTGCAAGAATTAGAGAGCACGGCCCAGCCCGAGCGTGCAATGAAAGCATTGCTTGGCAAGTACCGTGCATCCACTTGAGGAGGCACTTGGCTGGGTGGCAGCATTACCGGAAGTGGTGCGAGCTTGTGGAGAACCGCATGACTGACCGGCGCCCCGACTAGTTTCATTGACTAATTTTGACTACCTGTTCGTCAGGGAGGAGGAAGGGATGGGCGCTTCCATCCCTTCGGCTGTTTCGAGGTCGGTGGCTTGGTTCCAACAGATGGCAGGAGTGCCCGAGGGCCATCGATTGGAGTCCAATCAAGCAGTGGATCTCGTGGTCAAGGTCTTGGTCAAGAAGTTGGAGACGAAGGCGCAGCCTATCAAACGGGCTCCCAGGTGGATGACCATGATGATTGGCCCCATGGAGGAGATGGTCGTGTGGCGTGAGCAACCGAAGGGTCGCCGGATTGCGGCCTGGATGAAGCTGGTCAAGATGTGGGCTGCCCTGAGGTTCAGCGACGCTGCAAACATGCAGGTGAAGACGCCGAAGTACTACGACGGCAAGATGACAGCTGATCTTCATAAGGCAAAGACCACCGGAGCAGGGAAGAGAGTGCAGGAGCTGCCGGTGTATGTCGGGGAGGACGCGTATTTTGTCCAGAAGAAGTGGCTGGAGGTTGGATTGGACCTCATCAAAACCACGTGGAGAGAGGAGGGGCATGACGTCTTCAATGATGGTGCGTTTTCTGAGGGGCAGACAGGTGTTGTTCCTATGAAGTACTATATGAGGCGTCTGGGGCGAGCTGCGACGTTATCGCCGCCTTGGAGGATTACGAGGGCAACAAGATCTTCCCTGAGGGATATGAGAGGTTCTGGACTGAGCACTCTGAGAGATCAACCTTTGCCAAGCTGGTTGGGAAGACTGACCGCGACCTCATCGGGAGGTGGCTGCCGGAGGGCAGTGACCAGCATGTGAGGACGTACAATGCGGCAGTTGCTAGACTTCAGAAAAAGTTCGTCAGGGTGTTGTGAGATGGGAGGGCCTATGAGACATTCGATGAAGGCAGTGTCTTGGAGGAGATCAAGGACTGGATGGTGTCTCATTGGGAGGTGGACCGTGAGGCAGCCTCTACCGGGTAGAGGCCTTCAAGAACAAGGTGAAAGTGATCACCGCAATGGCGGTGAAGGAGTGCGACAAAGTGCCGGATGAGAGCAGCTCAGAGAGCGTCACTTCAAAGGAAGAAAGTGATGGCAGTTGGGAAAAACTTTCCAAGGAGGAGAAGAAGAAGGAGGGCAAGCGCAAGATGTCCAGCGCCTGGCGGAGCTCAGCGACATAAGCACCCGGTAAAATGAGTGCTGTGTTGGGCGGCAAGACGAGGAAGTCCGTGGTCGCAAAACGGCAGGTTTCTATGAGAGCCTCATAGGAGGGAAGACCACGAACGCTTCGTGGCAGGGGGAGGTGGACGCTCCACCGGGGGGAAGACAAGACCATGGGAGCCCCATGGCCGGGTTGTGAATGCATTGGGGTCCCAGGTCACTGTTGCCCCTCGTTGCTTCTCGTGCGGAGGTGGGACGTCTCCCCGGTGTCTCCTCCAACCCTTTGACGGAGTTGTGCCAATTGACTCCGGAGTTGGGTTAGCTCATGTTGGGTATCCGGATCAGTTGTGCGGGTTGGTACCCAACTGTGAATGATGTCGGCGATCTGCTGAGCGGCATACTTGGTGTTGTTGGTCTTGTCCATCAATTTGCCATCTTGCCGAGCCCGACAGTGGGAGACTTTGTCCAGGTCGACTCCTTTGTTTCTGAGCTGCGTCAAGAGTTCTGTCATGAAAACAACTGCTGCGATGTCCCCTGTAGGGATCAGGTAGAGTTCACGACCATGAGCCAGCTTTCGAAGCCAGAAGTTGTTGGCTTGTTGGTACAGTAAAGCTGCCACTGGCAGGTGCAAAGGATCACACCCTTCGATGTCCAGCTTTTGACCCAAAAGATCAGGTTAGGCAATTTCCTGCCCAATAGTTAATTCCTTATTTCCTACCTAATTAGGTAATTTTAAGGTAAAAAGGAAACCTAATTTTAAGGTAATTCGGCACGTGGGGTTGAAAGTTTGCGTGCAAACTTGCGAGGCGGGGGTGAAAGTTTGCATGCAAACTTGCGAGACAAGGTTGAAAGTTTGGATGCAAACTTGCGAGGGGAGGTTGAAAGTTTGCCCGCAATTTTGCGAGGCGGGGTTGAAAGTTGAAAGTTTGCGCGAAAACTTGCGAGGCGGGGTTGAAAGTTTGCAAGCAAATTTGCGCCCTTGGACACGCACGCAAGCATTTGCAGGCAATTGGTGGTGCTAGTTTACACTCAAACTTGCGAGGGGGGTTGAAAGTTTGCCTGCAAACTTGCGAGGGGAGGTTGAAAGTTTGCATGCAAACTTGCGAGGCGGGGTTGAAAGTTTGCGTGCACACTTTCGTTGAAAGTTAGGTAAAAAGAATAGTTAAGGCAAGAAAAATTGACTAATTTAGGTAAGGGAAAAATAAACTAATAGGTATTTTTTTTGTTTAAGATAAGGAATTACCTTTTCGGCAGGAAATTGCCTAAGCTGATCTATTGGGGAGTAAAAGCCGATTGACGAATGCTACGTGGGAAGGTCAGACCGTTGACTTGTTGATTGTCATAATGGTCTTTATCCTCTTGCCAATGAGGATTGAGATCAAACCCATAGGTGCGGGTAGCTTCGTGATATTCTGGACCTCCTGGTGGGGTGGATTGAGGAGTCCCAAATGGACGAGGCTGAGACGAAGGGACTGATGGAGTGCTCGGAGAGCATGGTTGTGTCGGTGGACATGGCAAAGTTGGTGAGCATGGTGGAGTTGCAGGACGAGAAGGTGCAGGATATAGCAAGGTTGGTGGAGGTGACGATGGAGGTGCTGGTGGAAACCGATGACCGGACCAAGTGCCCTGTGTCATGGTTGGAGTTTGATTCATCATTCTTCCCATCATATAAGGTCCAGACTGGTTCAGTGCCCACTGAGGTCGAAACTGAGGGCGTGGCATATTCTGTGAATGCAAGATCGCTGCTTGCATGGGCCCGCACCATCAAGGAAAGAACGGCAGGTCTTGACGCGCTGGCTGAGCTTGTCCACGAGGCTCAGATCGGTTGCGTCCCGGCATTGGTGATCTGGATCGATCCGAGTCAGCCATGATGGGTCACAACAAGAGTCACGTTGGGCTGTTGAGGACGCAACAAAACTACAGCGGAATAAGTTGCAATGATGCATGAAGAAAGGAAAAGGAAAGGAAAAAGAGAAAGGACATAAAAGGTCAACAATCGACAAATCAAATGCAATGCATGACATCACCAGGTACATTGCACGCAACGTACTAGTGGGACCCTTGTAGTCAGGTGTGTCGCACAGTGTCAAAATGAAACTATGAATGTCCACAGGACATGAATCGACCATGTAAAAAGAATGTGATGAACTGTCAGTTGCAGATTGAGGCAACCGTACTTTTTTGATCAAAAGCTGGTCCAGGTTTCCCTAGAAATGTCAACTCCGGTTTCCGGGTAATGCCGAAAAGATCTAATGATACACAGCGGCAAAATTGCTGACGGCTGTTGGTCCTATCAACGACCTGAGTGTCGATCCTTAGTCCGTGGCCTGATGCTGCGGTAGTTGCAGTTATCTGAGGACGAGTCTTCCACGTCTGGCAAATTCGGCCACTTCAGGGCGATAAACTTCAACCCAACATGATTGCTGTGGGCAATCGTGTATTTCTCCGACGTTGTTGCCACTCCTTTTTCAGCCACGGAGAGCTGTGCCATTTCATTGCCACCAGCTTTGAAAGCAGTATGTTGGCATGCACCTCGATACATCGCCCCAATGACGACATCCTGTTGTCCTTTTCCTTTCTTTTGGATGGTGTCCATATAAGCTCTTTGGCCACCCAATCAGGAAAGGTCTTGTCGCTATTGGAAACTTCTCTGCCGAGGTAAAAGGCTCCAAAGGTGGGCATGTCGCACCGATTGAAGTTTTTGTTGTATGACCAGTTGGCCGGTCTGATCTTGCCCTCAAGTATGATGAGCTGTGAGGTTCGGAGCGTCGTTCCATGGAGAAGCGCCCAGGTGTGGTTCTGATGTTTCCGGAATGGAGGTGGCATTTGAAAGTGACTGGAATCAGGAAATGGAAATATTAGTGCAAGCATGTTGGTGGAAGGTAGTTCAATGATGTAGGACTTCCCCAGGTCGTAGTCCGGAAGGAGATATGTGCTGAAGAGGAGCTGGACCGCTTTTTGGATGACGTCCGGAGGAATTCGTGTGTCCACTTGTTTAAGGATCTCAACTGCACGGTCGAAGTCTTTGATATCCACCGTCTGCAGTGGTTGAGGTTTTTTCTCCGGTGCTATTTCTGAGGCTGCTGGCATACGGTCAGGGTGGCGCAAGGCGAACTTGACTCCACGGATCCACTCTTCTTTCGATCCTTCTTGTAGGCTGATGAGAATATGTCCAGGAGGTACGTTGACCGGAGTAGGGGGCTGGTCGTCCCCCGATTTAGCAGGTTTTTTGCTTGTGGCGGAGTGGCGGTGTAGTGTGGTCGGAGGAGAATGCCGTAAGTGGTTTGGTGGAAGATTCATGTGGAGTGCGGTGGCTGTGTGAAGGTTGTGAGTAGTCAGTCAATCCATTTGGATGGATTGGATGAGGTTGAGTATTTGGAATAGTCCTTCCACTGTCCCCATGACTGCCACTTGTCGGTGGACGAGTGTTCATGGTGGTATAGGATCGTGTTTGGGGATCAGTGTAGGATGTGGGCTGTGGGTTGTGCCCCCAAGGTGCAGCTTGAAGAGTCGCCGTCTGGTGGGATTGTTCCCGTGGTTGTTGGTGATCCTGGGTTCGATGTCGTTCTTCTCGATGTCGTGGAGAAGCAGATCGGAGAGTAATGGATTGTCCCCGGCCTGGTTGCCGAGATTTTTGCCTTTGAGTGGAAACATCCCTGGAAGAAGATCGAGGTCGTGATGAGCGACGGGATCGTCTGGGTGAGCGTCGACGACGAGGACTTCGATGAATGGAGACCGGACGTTTGTCGTGTCTCCGTGATGAAGAGTGGTGGCGATGAGAACGAGACCTGCGAGAGGAGCGTTGTCGTGGCAGTGGATGTTCACCAGGTGTTGGATGTTGGCTGATGTTTTGTGGAGGCATGGTAACTGGTGGAAGTGGTGTCGGAGGTTGGTTGGCTTGACGCTCTTGAGTCTTTTCCACCAGTGCTTGAAGGCTGGATTCAACAGTGTTTTTCATCTGTTGCAGCATCTCATCCGGATTGAAGGATGGAGTAGGTCCGCTGGAGTAGTCACAGCTGTTGGTGGATCTGTTGCCTGAGGTCCGGACGGCTGTGGCGTGGATGGAATGGATGGGGCTTGAACCAGTTGTGGAGGTTGGTGGAATGGAAGCAGCTGCTGGAGATGTTGGATATGGGATTGAGCTTGTGAGTTGAGCTGTTGGTTGAGTATGGCGTTTTGCTCTCGTAGAGCAGAAATCTGTGCCTGAGTCTGAGCTTGAGACTGGGCTTGAGACTGCTGATTCATCAGGTCACCTCCACAAAATTGACCTTGAAGTCCCATAGTCTGCGGGTTCCATCCAAAGTTCCACATCGATTCAGGGACGTTGGGAAAGCGTCCCGGAAACATGGCGACAGTGTCAGGTTAAGTAATCTAGTCAACAAAAACCTTCACATGATGCATCCACATGGCATGCAAAATTCGTGATAAGGCTCAGAGGCCCTCTGCTTTCATTTCACAACCCTGTAAAGCTTACGTCGTCAACCCCTGAATTACGTGCACAATTGAACCTCACCAGAGTAACCAAAAGGAAGCGACCACACCTGGAAAGCATGACCTGTTGCCTGAAGTTTCATGTAAAAGGCTGCGGTCAGTCTCTTGAGGGAACAGAACGGATGTTGTCGCAGCTTCAGTCTACCAATCCGTGAAACCTAGGCAGAAAAAGGTGAATCCCAGGCACACCGGGCCACTGTTCAACACACACTTGACGATCGACAGGTGAGACCCTGAAGTAAGGCCAGCTCTTCCACTTTACTTAAACGAATTACTAATTCAAAAGTGTAAATTCAGAGGTCGTTTCCAAATGTCAATTCTTTGCTTAGACAAGCATTCCCCGAAGGGTTCATGCCACCTTGACGAATCCAGCATGAATCACACACTTGCTCAGAAACATCTTTGCGAATTCTGATGTGGAATGCATCTTACGTGCAAAAACACTTCAGTTAAACCTGACAGGAGTAGTTGGATGACCAGAAGTGAGAACCCTTGCGAAGGTAATCTTGCTAAGTCCTTGCTAGAAGTA